TATAATTAGTGATCAAAGAATTTGATACATAAATGGATGGAAATAAACTTTGATTTTTTCAATTAAATCCACTAAAAACGTACAATAAATACTTTCTCGAGAAATTGACGATACTGTATTAAATAATGTTTTACAAAATTTGGCAAAAAAATATAAGAATATATTATGATTTTTTTTTCATATTTATATAAACAACTTCAACGACTATTATTGTAATAAATCTTTAAAAATATCATGTTTGTATCGTCGAAAGTTTTTTTTTTTTATTTTTAAGTTTTGTAATTTTTTTTTCAAATTGTTTATCATTAATAAAGTTGGAAAAAATATAAATTAAAAAAAAAAAACTTAAAAAAAGTAAAGATATATATGTTTTTTAGGCTAGAAGATGTCTGAAGATGTTAGAAGACTCTGGTCCACATCTGCGCCAAGAAGAGGGCGCGCAGACATTTTTAGGTCTGCAGTCTTCAAAAAAACAAACAGTCTGCGAAGGCTAATGTCTGCGCGGCGCAGACAGAAGAGGTCACGCAGATCTGCAGAGAAAAAACAAACACTACCTTACACAATTACAGTTCACACCCCCTTTATTTTTGCTGACTATGGAAATTTACAATGAAGAACTATTCGAAATTCAAGTGCATCCATTATTAATTTTTGAAAACGATTTCTTTTTTTTTTCTTTATTCTTTCACAATTAAAGATATTTCCCTTGTTTGGTTTGGTTGTGGTCATAAATTTAATGAATAATCAGACTACGTAATTAGTCTTATTTGGGTATCATTTTTATTTTACTTGGAATGTGCTATCCTCTCTTTCTTCCTCCCTCTTGGACTATTTCAATTTTTAGTTTTAGGTTTCCCTACACAATTAGTTGAAACTAGATCCAGCAAAATCGATCAAACATGTCAACCTAATCGTAAACCCAATCCAAATTTAACAGAATTAATTATGACAACAAATAATAATTGTATATACTTGATTTCATTTTAGATTCTACTCTTTAATTAGCATTTATAGAATCCTAAACCTATTAATTGATAGTTGTGTTCTTTCTAAATCCGACCAATTACTGAGTTTGTAACTTATTTGATAAGTCTAACTTTTTTATCATTCATGTAAACTGTAAAGTGTGAACTTCATGTGGGTCAACCCAAGTTAACCCATTAATAATATTTAATATAACATATCATGTTAGAAAAAAATAATTATGATTGTGGGGTGAGGGTTATGGACACGTTCATCCATTTGAGCTGCATCTTAATGATACAAATATACAATCCATACACATACATGATCTCCTTTTTACATTACATAACATTACACACATTCTCTCACGAACACAATGAGACCCACGTGGGTACATGTGATGTCAGTCCTGCTAAATTATGCTAACCCTGGGAAAACTTAGCACAAAAAATACATATATCTGTAATGGACAAATATAAAAATCAATAATCACACAACAAATACAAAAATTTAAATTCTTGACCTATCTTAGCTGCCTTGAAACTCTTAACTTTCAGGAATTCTAGCCTGAAACCACAAGTAGTCCAGCATTAGAATCATAATATATATATAAATCGAAACTGCATATGTGTATATATGTATGAGTGTATGTAAGGATGTGATGCTTGCCTTGTTTAGATACTTTTTGTGAATTTTCAGTGCTTCTGACAAAGCTTTTTTAGCATCCAAGCTTCCCGTTATATCACCCATGATCTGGAATCATAAAAGTCATAAATGGTCTTAAACTCTAGGCCAAATTTCAACCAATATACTTTATTTTTTTATTTGGCACAAAATTCTAACAAATAGTTGTATGATTTAAAGAGAACCTGAGCAACATCATCTAGGCCCTTAGCCTCATTCAAAAGTTTCTTGTTTTTGGTTTCTAGAACACCTGCAACCAAGAAAACAGCAAGAAGACTTTTTTGATCTGTGCGTCCATTCTTCACGTTTTTTCTCTCATATTTTCCATACTGTTGTAGCATTTTCTTGCTTAATTTTGTTGTTACAACAACTTCATTCGAACCATTTGAAGCATAATGAGCAAACATGTTTGGATTATACTCCATGGCCCACATAACCTGATTTCACATTTTTAAACAAAAACATCATCTTTCATCTTTCCAACTTCATACAAAAAATAAATGAGTAATAATAATACTAATATAGATCTCTTTTACCTCCCATAGATATAACGCATCTACAAAGGAAAATTCCCTTCTGAAAAGCACCATTAGCATACGAATTGCAAACAAATATTCTCCACCATCCAACCCCTCTGATTCAAGTAAATTAAATAAAAAAATGTTGTCGATTTATTTAAAACTTAAAAAAGCTTTTACAATAAATAGCAGATGGAAGTTGAAACTTGGTACTACTTACCAAGGTGTTGATGAAGCTTTGGGTCAACAACTCTCATAACTTGTGAAAGTATGCTAAGTTGTGATTGCACTCCCATAGAAGTTGCATTAGACCTGAAATTTTCCCTCTTTATAAAGGAAACCAGAGATTAATCATTCCACATAAAGAAAATATAAAATATGTATATAAAATAAAGGCATAATACACACCACTCTACGCATCGCATGCTCAAAGCACCAAAATGCATCTGCTTCTTCTTCCAAAAGAATAACCATTGGGGAACATATATCATTCATTCCTGTTTAAAATTAAAAAGCACATGAGCTTTATGTCCTACAGTTGTTGTGATAACAGGGTATATATAGTGTTTCTCACCTTGAACATAACCAATATCATCATCTACCCAAGTATATATAGCAAGAACATCCCACAACTTGGCTTGATTAGCTTCATTCTCATAATAAACAAGAGAACGATCTGTGCGTACCACATCCAAACCTATCTGATGCAAGCTCTGTTTCCACTGAGTCACTTTCTTGTCGGAATCGACATCAGAATCTGCAAATTCCATTCCAGTGTCTTCTATTGGTTTTCCATCATCATTGACTATAGGTGACATCACAAACTTCCCACTACCAACAATGGGTGCCATCTTTTTGCATTCCTCTTTCCATGAAGCATACTGTTCCCTAAAAACAAAAATAACATTTTTACTAAAATGTGAGTGTACTATTTGATTATCAGAAGAGTAAAATATAGAAAAGATTAGAGATAAATGGCATATGTAATTAATGTACTCCACATGTTATGTGAAGAGACTACCTCCTCTTTGCCCTGAGGGCTCCTCGTTCCTCAGACGTACTGTTGGGATCATAACACCCCAACAAAAATTCCCATACTACCCCTTTAATTGATGGATGAATGCCCTGGAATGATTAAAAAAAAAAAAAAAAGAAGAAAAAATATTACTATGTCTCTACCCCTATTTGTATCCTCCTAAGAATATATCCATATTTTGAAAGTTCAATCAAAATTGGGAATTTGATTGTCTATTATAGACTTTCAAAAATTTCATTCTTTTTGAAGTAGAAAATTGTAAATCTACAAGAAAAACAGTACCCCTCTTTGTATCCTCCTAAGAACACCAGCTATATCCAAATGGCCATCTTTATCAAATGCAGCATTCCATCTCCTTTCACTTAAAGTTTTCCCAACCTGAAACAGTTAAACAATCACCAAGCTTTAAACATTGTTACAGGATTAGTAACAATGAGATTTTAAAAATCATCTCTAAAAGTAGAAGAAACCAGATACAGAAATTGCACAACAAACGAAAAAATTAACAAAAAAGCAAGCGATGAATTTTGAACAGACCTTGGGCTTGAAGCGCGTCTTCGGAACAAGTTCTTGGCACTCTGGCCTAACCGGAAAAAAATCTTCCATATCGCCATTTGCATTAGAACTAGAAATTCTCTTCAACATAAGACACAGCTGCAGCTAACACGCACAAAAATCACACCCGATTAGACGCCAAAAATCATTCACCCTACCCAATTCATAAACCCATACATAAGCTTAAAAACCCTAATCAATAATTTCTTTTTAGTTTCCAGTATCTATACTAACAACTCAAGCTTACAAATTGTGTAATTTCAATCCACTTACCACCAAGAATATCACATAGCTTATCAATTCATGACAGAGAGAAGCAACAAAGATGCAAATAGACTTAATTTCTCTAGAAAATTCTTAGATATGAAAGGATTCGCGCACCTTGTTTCAAAAACTTATTGGGAATTGTGAAGAAATACCGAATCCGGGGATATATAACAAAACTTCCGATGAGACGAAATGTTCTTGGATTTCAACGGCGATTGATAGACCAAAAACATGAGAATTAGGCGACCAAATGATCAAAATGCAAATCAATTTGTATATTCGAATGATTTGAACCTGCTTGCATATGGTGGTTTGAATAAAAAATTAAAAGTTATTGCTGGTTTTTTTGTGTTTTATCTGTCTTTGAATTGAACCCCTCAACTATGTATAAAACCAAGTCGAACCCTTTAAGCTATATAATCGTATCATTTGCATTGAATTCTTAAAAGAAAAAAAAAACCCTTTAAGCTATACAATAATTACAGAGTGACTAAACATAATTTATTAAAAATATAATGTTTAAAACTTCAAAAAAAAAAAATTGAATTAGGAAAAATGAAAGATACGACAAATTTGTTACATGCATAACGTGTATAGTATAAGTAGTCAATCAACAAATTACAAACTCAAAAACTAACTTTTTTAAGTTTTGAAAATATATCACTTTATAGTTTATATTATATATTATATTAGATTTCATAGCTTTTAAGTTTAAAATTGGATTTATTGATATATGTATGTCGGTCTATCGTCTTTTGAAAAGGTCAGTTGCCCTATTGATGTATTATAGTTTTGGATGACATATCAAACTTTTTATTACAAAGACCATATTGTATCCCTATTACTTTTTCTTAATAGGAGAAAATATAATAACCAGATGATGAGACGACAGAATTGTTCGTTGCTCTCGAAGTTGACCAATATTTGTCTTGTACTTAATAGTTAATACCCACCTTGTGTGTTCGTCATGTTTGTATTTATCTTGAACTTGTATTAAGTCTCACTCCATACATCAAATTTGCAAATTATTTTCTTTTTTCTAAAAGACATTCTGAAAGTTTTATAAATTCTATTAGCGGAATTTCATAAAAAAACAACGTTGTTTGGATTTCTTTCGGTTTAAATATCCGAATAATATTTCTTTGATTCAATCACCGTGACTTCGGTTTTTTTAAACAATCGCCATAACCGGATACAATGGGTTTCGTAGTAATTTTGATTAATCATAAAACTATGAATCGTATATAAACCACTATAATTTCATACGATTTGGTTTAATATTCCGGATTTTTTTTGGTTTAACCAAAAAAAACTTCAATTTTTTAAAATGATTTTCTAATATGTGCCCTAAAGTCACATATAACAAACATTAATTACAACAAATATTAACATAATTAAATACGAAATGCATTGATTATAAATATTATTACCATAATTAAATGTCAGATTTATTAATAATCTCCATAAATAAATGTATTTTATATTTAATTATGGTAATATTTTTTATATTTAATGTTTTTTATATATGTCCTTAGGACACATATTAGAAAAGGGAGATGATTTGTACACAACAATTTTTCTCCGTACACAACAATTGGTGTTTTAAAATGTTGTACTATATAACTCTGTAATGCATAAATTGTTGTGTATGGCAAAAAATTGTTGTGTATACCTTTTTAAATAACCATCATAACCAAGGAAAGGGTTTTCATAATTATATTTATGGTATGACAAATCATAAAATCTTTTAATAAGCGATCATGAATATGAAAATCAAAAATATATGAAAGATTATTTAATCTCTATGTTTACTACTTTGTCATAAGAATATCATAATATTCTATTGATATATTTAATATTGATTATCAATTTTAATAACAACAAAAGTTGAAACATAGACAATAAAAATCAATATACCGATGGTTTTTATATTCTGTTCCGTTGTATAATAAACTTTATTTTATTTTATTTTTAACCGACAAATATAATCTATTTCTAGACTAACACCTAACTTCACTTATGTCTATGACGGAACTTGAACCATCGACCTCAAATAGGAAAGGTACCACCTAATACCACTGGGCTAGTTAGTTAAATGATCAAGGCCATGGGTGGACTATACAACACGACTTAAACAATGTGGCCAAATTACTATACACAAACATCACCCCATAAGGATTTTAGATGTTTAAACTGATCAAAAGTACAAGAAAGTTGATAAACTCTTCATGAATATGTTACTTATAAGGACAAACGTACTTTGTTTTATGTGTTAGGGATGCATAGGACAAACGTACTTTGTTTTATGTGTTAGGGGTGCATTGATGTTGAACCAGATGAGATGACATGTTATCACAATATACAATTGTGGCCTTAGCAGTGGTACACTAAAATGATATAACATTTCGTTTGGTAGCCATATTATTCAACAATACATTTCCAATGTGGGGCACCCATGACTGCTAGAAGCAATAAATTTTCACAACTCAAAATGTTCATCTACTTGATGCACTGTTATGATCCCACATCGGCCGAAAATACTATAAGTTGGTGGCTTATAAGTCTAGGTGTCCCCTCCTCCTACAAGCTGGCTTTTGGGAGTGAGTTCTACACTTGGGCTTATGGCGTGATGCGGGCCTAGTATGGGATGGGTCCGTATAAATTGGTATCAGAGCCGTCCCCATCTTTTAAGGTGCCAACACTTGGAGTGGTGGCCTACGGAGTGGTGGCTTGGACCCAAAAAGAGGGCTGCCAACCGTGACCAACGTAGTCGTGACCAACAATGACTCGGAGTGGTGGCTTGGACCGAAAGGGGGTGCCAACCGTGACCAATGAGGACGTTGGCTCTTCAAAGCGTGGGATATTGTTATGATCCCACATCGGCCGAAAGTACTATAAGTTGGTGGCTTATAAGTCTAGATGTCCCCTCCTCCTACAAGCTGGCTTTTGGGAGTGAGTTCTACACTTGGGCTTATGGCGTGATGCTGGCGTGATGCGGGCCTAGCATGGGATGGGTCCGTATCATGCACACAGTTCAGAGGTTACATCTTTCATAATTGTGTGTTATTTGTGTTTTTCTAGATATGTTAATTCTTCTTGTGTGATTGGTTTTTAGGATTTGCCTTCAGGAAAAAAGTGGTTGAAATATGACATAGACGACCACCAATCCAGTATTTATCTATTTTGACTTGGCCATTTTCCAAAAAAAGAAAAAGAACAAACACAAAACATGAAGCAAACATATAAGTTCAAAATTGAATTGGAAAAAGTTTCTAACAATCATTTGTAAAGGTCAAACATAAGCACCTAGAATCCAAAACTGGTCAACTCAACAACAATTCAAATAAACTGTAGCAAAATCTTGTGCACAAATGACAAGATCATGCAGTCTCCTTCTTCAGCTTGGCTAGTTCTTGCCTAACAACACCAGCCTTCTGCAAGATCAGAAAATAAATACACACAATGAGGGGAAATTTTTAAAACCTGAAAGAAACAGCATCTGATCATATTGTTAAAAAGAATATTATAACAGAAACTGAGAAAAGAGGAAGGCTGACCTTTATCTTTGCCAACATTATCTTGAACCTATCAAAATCATTAAGAGATGCTCTCTTCTTTTGAACAATGAGCTTTCTTCCCCATGAACTGCTTTCCCACTTGTTCTTAACATCTGCAGACGACAAAAAACTTCATACAAGATAGATACCATGAACAACTACCATCCTATTAAAGTGATACCTACCTGCAGCCTCCAAAGCAGCAATGAGAGTTTTCTTGTTTGGAACTCTGTTGATGTCGATCTTGATATCTGTGAGTGTTAGCCTCTTGAAGTTCATTTGGCCCCTCACCATGTCAGGAGAATCAACAAGAGCCTGCAAATCAAAAAGGGAAAATTTTAAAAAGTGCACATTGTTGCCAGCATACTCATACAGAACTTAATCAAATTAGTCGCAACATTGTATGTTTTTAAGGAGCTTTAACGAATAAACTGGATGAAGTATGTTCGATCAAAAGATATAGCAGAAATCGCCGAAAGCTCTTAATCGATGAGCTACAATCCTATGTTACAAACTATAATTTTACAAATTCAAGTGACCTAAAACATTAAATAATTTTCCTATACCCTCAGGTCATTTCACAGCCTAAAAGAAATATAATTATGATATCTAGAAGAATGCATTGTTGCCAATTATCATATCATAGCAATAACTTGAGCTAGTAACAAGATGCTTGTAGTAAGATTGAGATACCCTGTTTTGATCGATGACATCGACGATCACTACGAGCTTTCCATAATCCTTTCCGTAGTTGACAAGAGCAACTCTTCCAATCTCCACGTACCTCTTGAACGGCTACAAAAATCAAATTACAGACATTATCAGACAAAGATCACTCAATAACACACACATAGAGATAAAAATGGGGTCACATTTTACCATTTTTTCAGGTGACCAACTGCTCAGCGCCGAGGAGAGCAGAGACGGTGTGGATGGATACGATGAAAATTAGGGTTTTTGACGGAGAGTCCATTTTATAGTTGGGGCTATTCTTTGGGCCGAACACCTATATGTCCTACTTAATATATTTAAGCCTTGTCCAAAACAGTCCGGCCCGAATCCCCAAACTATCAAGCTTTAGGCCTTTTGGAATAAACATGCAGATTACCCGCCAAGTTGTGTAAAGGTGTAAGGTGTTGTTTGTTTTTTCGGAGATAAAATGTCTGCAGCCTGCGGATCACATCTGCAAACCTCTGCTGTAGAAGAGGTGGACCAAATGTTTACATTCTGCAAGAAGAAGACTGTTTGTTTTTTAACGTCTGCATGTTGTTAAAATATACTGAGATTTAGATATACCGGTTTTTTTAAACATAAAAATATTACAAAAAACTAAATTTTTCATCAACTATAACTTCAACGACTAAATAAAACATACAACTAATTTACAAATATAGTTTGGGGTGAGCAAAAACTGAATAGATAAATTTTTTTGATAAAAACGCAACAAACCGAAAATAATAAACTGAAACCGATACAAAATTCGATGATGTGATGATTCAAAGGGCTAAAACTATGTTGGGATTCAATAATCAAAAATTTAAATGAACTTAGTTATTAATGTGGTATAAATTATGATAACTGAAAAATAAAACTTCATTAAATTTTTTGATATTATATC